CTATAACCCTAGCTTTGCACTACTGTGCTACAAATATCAGTAATAAATAATTCGAAGTGTCCGTTTACAAGTTTATCGTTTATAAGCATTTTATGAAACCCCTGGACGACAATGCATTGAAACAAATGCCAATGCATTGAAATACAACACTGGAAGCACACTACGTAATTTAACTCGCCTATATGGCATTCTTACGGTCACCCGGTCAATGTGACGGTGAAATCACATTGGTGGACAATCCTCGTAAATAATTTAATTTTCCAGCGACATTGTTCATATATTCTACGCTGTAGCGCCGAAATCATATGATAAATTAATACGGTGGTGCTCACGTATCAGCAAATCATGTTTAAATAGACTTTGAATTTGTTTGGTTAGCCATCACGAATGTTATTGTAAATCAATTGGTTAGTGAAACAGGATGCTTGTTTGAAAACTGTTGGTTTGATTCGTTTAATTCAGCTCAATCTACATTTTTTTAAATGTACACGCATTTTAAAAAATGTAGCCCTACGTTTTAGGTACTGTTCCGTTCTTCTTTCGCCAATTACCTACTAACGCTAGCAAGTAAGTTTATACATCATTGAGTGTAGGCCTATACTTATATTAGTGTGATTGAAAAAAAAAACTATTTTTATGAATTATATCGCGTTTATTTTAATTACCTGCCGTTTCGAGTGCTGTACATACTATATATACATATATTTAAATATATACTGCACGATCTTTTTTACTGTCTGGAAAAAATAGGATGGAACAAGTGAAAGGAATAGAAACCTTAGGCGCTGATATTAAGCTTTTTTTCTTTTAATTTAGCATATTATGAAATTGATCTAATGGCCCAACTTCAGAGATAGCATAATATTTTGAGTGATCCACATTTTTTGAGAGTTTAAGGTTTTTAATAGGACATGACAAAGGGTCGTTGAAAAGGGCAGAACAAATATATATATATATATATATATATATATATATATATATATAAATATATATATATATATATATATATATATATATATATATATATAATATGTAACGTAATTTACGCACACCCTCAGACACCCCAATTCGTATATTATGTTATAATCATAATACATACACTGAATTTTTAGTTAAATATTTTTATGCACTGATTATTTATCAAATTATTTATACTAATTCCGGAAGAATGTTGTGGTCACAGTACAATTCCATGAACGCAAAGACTTTAACGTGCGAAATAAAATCTTTATTTTTGTTGAATGACAGAATTAGTATAATACATAATACAAATAAAACTGCACTCTTAAAAGTCTTATTGCCTTATGCCCAGTTGGATAGTTACTGTAATTTACGTAGTTTTAATTATTTTTGGGATAAAAATTACCTATATTAAAATGATAGGAATCAATTCTGAACAAACTACTTTCTCAAAGTGCGTCAATTATGTTACACGTTTTATATATATATATATATATATATATATATATATATATATATATATATATATATATATATAAAGTGATATAGTGTATATAGCAGCCTAAAGGCTTGGGGGACTGAGGTGTTTGACATACCGATGTCATTGTTATCCTGGGCTAACTTCAGCTGTTGAATATAAATTTTTGGTTTGATCTACGCAGAACGAGCTTACAGTATCTTGAAATCTTGCAGTGAGTATGCTTGGTTTTGGATTTCATTTTATTTATTATAAGATCCCAAGCAGATGGTAGCACCCAGCCTTGATTGAAATTTGTATGTTTATTTAAATTTCACTAGCCTAGCGAATCATCCCTGGTAGGAATACGTGTTTATTTACGAGGATTTATAGTACAGGATGTCTCAAAACGATCAAACTATTTCAAGAATGAGCGAGAAGCAAACAAGGCGCGGGGGAGTGGTGGCGCGGGTGTCGTTTACTAGAGTGTTCCTTACATTTTTAGTTTCCATCATGCCGTACACGGTAGAGCAACACTCGTTTTGCGTACGCGCGTATTTCGAGAACAATCGATCACTCATTCGAATTCGACGGATGTATCGGTAACATTATCGACTGCGCAACATTGTGGAAACTCCAAGCAATGCAACAATTTTAGCTTGGATCCAGACATTCAATACTACTGGAAACACTATTGGCGAAATCCATCACGGCCGTCCAAGGACAGCAAGAACGCCTGGAAACATTCAGTCAGTTGCAGATTCTGTAAGCCGACAACCTCGATTCAGCGTTAGAAAGCGTGAGTCTCAGCTGGGATTATCAAGAGCGACAATTCACCGCATAATGCGATCTGATTTACACCTAAAGGCATATAAAATTCAGATTGTGCAAGCTCTTCATGAAAATGATTACGTTACAAGATTGAATTTTGTGAATGTAATATGATGATTGTTGAAATGTGAGAGATTTAACAATTTCAACAACATGTTCTTTAACGATGATGCACATTTTGATTTGGACGGATACGTCAATCGAAAGTCAAAAACCCCAAAGGACAGAACTAAAAAAAAAAAAAACGACATAGACACCCCCCCACCAAAAACCAAATCCACACCTTATCTACATTATAATAGTTTTGAAGATAAAATGAAGGCCACCAGGACCCCACACCCCATAAATAAAAAAAAAAAACGACAAAAATGGGGTTAGGTTTTGAGGATACCGACGAGAAAAGGCTCCGAACGCCCCTCCGGGGGAAAAAAAATTATGGGGCAAATAAAAATGAAAGACCGACTAACATTTTTGTTAAGTTACTGGCAATAAGGCTACGATAAAATTAGTGAACGTTCTTACAATTAATTTTAGGCTGTTTTACGCGACTTTCGTTCATACCCATTCAAAAATATTATTATATATTCACATTATATATATATATATATATATATATATATATATATATATATATAAATATATATATATATATGTATTTATTACTTTTAATATATTATAATTATTTTACAAAATAATATAACATTATACAAAACAACAAAATTTTTTTTATATCTGGTAAAGTAAAGCTATAAAATTAAAGATTTCAATTTTTAAATTGGATTTCAAAGCATTAATTTTGTTTAAAATATATTTAACCTCATTTTGTAAGATTTCGCGAAATATCATATCGGAGCGGAGAAGTTACATCTGTTCTGACATACATGGTTTGATATACACAACCAGTACGTGTAGCCAGTAATGACCTATTGATCTGAGACGTGGTCCTTCATAGCTGGCCGTATGAGGACGCTCATGGTCGCTCAGCGAGCTATGGAGAGGGCTATGTTCGGGGGTTTTCTGTGTGATAAACATAGAAGTCAGAATATCCGAATTAGAACCAGAGTTACCGACATAACCCAACGGATTAGTGAGCTGAAGTGGCAATGGGCCGGCTATATAGCTCGAAGAATCGACAACCAATGGAGACAAAAGGTTCTCGAGAGGCAGCCTCGTACCGGTAGCTGTAGTGGCGACCCCCACTAGATAGAATGGCGACCTGGTAAGATATGCAGGAAGTCGATGGATGCAGGTGGCTCAGGACCGTGCTTTGTGACATTCTTTGGGGGAGGCCTTTGTTCAACAGTGTGAATGGTGATGATGATGTAGAATAGAAATTGAGTAGTAGGTTCTATTGCCATATAAAGGCTAATCGTATATATACCTTAACTAAGTAATTCCCTTAATATAATTAGAGCCTTAATATAATTTATCTCTTTATATTGCGGTTTACCTTGAAAGTAGCAGTTAACAATTTTTATAAATCACATTATGCAATATCTGACATATATTGCTCAGACCGTTCTAATTTAACCAGTAGCTACGTTATAAATAAAATAAATGATACATAATATGCCTTACTATTATTAACTATTCTTCTAATAGATACAATTATTTGGGATACCACGGCAAAGCCAAACGAAGCACAAAGCGCGTAAATAAGATTTATGTTTGATAAAAAAATTACTTTTATCGTATTTTACGCTACATTCCATATTGTTTTTAATATGTATAACAGAACAGAAACAGAAACAGAAACTTTTATTTAATGTAGATTATAACAATACTTATTGAAAGTCACTTTTTTCATTTACCACTGGTTCGCAAAAAAAAAACCTCTGTCCTGGGAAGAACCAGCAAGAAACCCAGCGGGACTATTTTTTTCCAATAATAGATTACAATTATGTTTACAATAAACAACACAAGACAAATTAGAAATAGCTTGGTAGCGATCACCCTTCCCAGAGGTTTCCATAAATTCCTTAATATTATAATAACCCTTTTTATACAAACATTTTTGAACTTCGTGTATGACAAATTTTGTATATTTTCTGGGATTTTGTTGTAAAAGCGTATACATCGCCCCAATTACTGACTCGGTGGAGTCGAGTAACTGGTACTACTAGCTTGTGTCTGCTCCTAGTATTTACAGAATAAATATCACTTATTTTCGCAAAACTACTTTTATTTTTGTGTACGTACATTACATTTTCATAAATGTATTGAGAGGCCAGAGTTAATATATTAATTTCCTTAAATTTTTGTCCCAGTGACTCTTTTGGTTTTAAATTATATATTGCTCTAATGGCCCTCTTTTATATTTTTATATTTTTTAATACATACTATTTTATTCGATTCTTTAACAACCTTTTTTTTTGTCATTAATAAAAACAATGCTACATCATTTTATGTGCCCACGTTCATAATATCAGGCTGCAGTTCAATATTGGGGTACAATGTCATTAAAACAGAAGTTCCCATACTTCTTCAGTTTGCAGCGCATTTAGACATTTAGATGTTTATTTTGTCTCGGCAGGTACTCGAAATAGCGTACAATGATACTAGGTAGATTTTCTCGCTCCACATTAATCTTTGAGCGATATTTGTGCTTTATTACACCTACAGTTGAAAATCTTGTTTCTTTTGTTCCCGGTGGCGTCTTACGGCGCCCATCTTTACTCTCTAAGGCGCAGTGCACTAGGACGCGTCAGCGTCTACTTTGTAACCCTTGCAATAAAACGTCCTGTTATTTTAGGGAAACTCCAAGAGAGATCCGGAACAAAGCGGAGAAGAAGCGACGCGATAAAATGAATCGATCAATAGCGCAGCTGGCCGCCATCGTTCCATCAGTTGTGGCTTTGGGACGTAAGGTAGACAAGAATAGCGTGTTGAAGCTGTCCGCACATTTCTTACGAGCGCATCAACACGGTAAGTGAATATTTAATACGGTATAGTTTTCATATTCGAACTTGTCAAATGATTACATTTATTACGAACTAAATTAAAAACTAAATTATTATTGAAAAGTGAGATTACACACCGATAGTATGGGGGTAATTGCAATCAAATCGAAATGAAAAACGAACCACATCCTGTAATTATAGTCGCTCTATAATCCCTCAGATAAGAGATTGGTGCCTATCCGGTCAGACTCACAGGTAGAAAGAGTTACCTGTTTTTTCCTCTAATCTTATAGTTATCATACATTTCAACGCAACTACTACTCCAAAGTTTTATCATGTCCTGTATCAAAATGTTTTAAAAATAACATATTTTATAAAAAAAATCTACTAAACTAAAAAATTCATCTGAATTCGATCGACTTAATCTTATAGGTAGAGAACACCGTAACTGCGTCCCATAGTGCTTTAATACGCACAAAGTATCAAAACTCAATTATAATCTTTACAGTGTTATGCGAAAAATTCGATTATTTTTCACTTTTTGATATTTAGAAATGAAAAAAATTCGCATTTTTAAACTTAACACATTCAAAATATGACGATAAATGTAAGCTTATTATCAAGATCGAAGCCAAAAGAAACCTTTACGAATCTTCTAGAATTACAATTCGAGTAATGTCTATATTAATACAGCAACTAGCACAAACACAACCCTCTTCACAAAACCGAAATCAGGAATGCAGAGTTGGCGCCGGCGGTTATACATTCAGTCTGCTAACTTCTATATAGTACGTATGGGTGGCGTACAGATTCCAAGTCATAGCAATTATTATATGGAATGTGGTGAAACTAGAAAATTATTCATAAACCGAAGCGTAGAATAACTAGATCACGTTTTTACTGCGTCTCAAAAATATACTCAACACATTATGTAACTATTCGCAAATGTTAATAAGTTTATTGCCTTTCTCACATGTTCGTAAATTAAGTAGTGTCTACATTTATTAATAAAGCATTCTTAGTATTGTAAACAGAACCGTAACTTCTGTTATGCGATATTAAGGATGAGTTATACAAGCATTGTGAACCGTTATTTCTATGGTTAGAAGAGATTGGAAATGCAAAAGAGAAGGACATCACAGATCATTCACGTCGGCCTGTAATTTCCTGCCTGCGTAAGGCTATCATCAGCCTGGCGTAAAACGTGAACAAAAAAATCTCACTTGTATTTGCAATAGCTCAGCTTTAAAAGTGAAAATTTGTGTTTAATTGACGTAATTAATTATGACTAGGTGCGATTCCTTTCCGAAGTGATTTATATTTAGGTACTAAATATAAATTACGTCGGAAAGACATCTTGCATTATTATACATACCGTATGTACGACCGAAATGTTTAACTGTCTAAATGTTGTGTTTTAGTGTAAGTACAAACAGTTTGTAGGATAAGAAAAATTATCACATTTTGTAATTATTGTCTAACACACGATTATTAATAACAGACGATTATTGTCTGAATGCAAAGCAATTGAATTTAAAATAATTACAAATACGTGAAATTCACTTTTGTAGATATTGACATTATCGATATTGTCTTATCGAAATGTCCTTAATAAGTTAAAAGTTCGCCTTACATGCCTTATTCAACTTATTTATATATATATTTTTAATTTTTAGGGCCCCGTAGCTAAATATTCTTCTAAGCGTATGAAAAAAATATTATTTTAATAGAAGTAGGTAGGGTGACAAACGAGCAAATAGTCCATCTGATAGTAAGTGGATACTGTGGCGGATTTTGACAAAATATTGATGTTCGACAATAATGTTTGAAAATTTATAATTAGAGAGGAATTCGAAGAAAAATTAATACATTTTTTAGCTTACTCTACACGGTGGGCGCGTCAATAAGTATTTTTTATTGACGTGCCCACCGTGTATAGTAAGCCAACCTCGGCTGTAAGGCATCGATCTCAGTCCGTAGACGTGACAATGATTTTCTTGTTTGAAGTTAGCTGCAACTTTCCATGGGCAGCACTAGCCACTTGGACTGTAATTTCGTTGGACTGATATATATATATATATATATATATATATATATATATATATATATATATATATATATATATAACAGTCACGCCTGTCACCTAGAGGTATAGGCAGGGACTACGGACTTCCATTTGGCACGATCCTGAGATCCTCCTAAGATCCTTTACATCCATATACCTACATACACGCTCGTCGGTTAAGGGGCCTAATGTGGCCCATTTTCAAAATATCGCCAATTTGGTCAATGAACGTTTTTCTAGGGCGTCCCTTCCCGACTCTGCCGTTCACACCTGCCATATAAATTTGCTTTGTCACTCTTCCCTCGTTCACTCTTTCTACATGACCATCACTGAAGCATTCCTTTCTTAATCCTTGTATCACCATGTCATTCAGGTTCAGCATTAACATACTCCTTAAAAGCCGCATTTCTGCAACATGTATTCTACTTTTGTGCTTCTTCTGCCATACCCAACAGTCACTACCCCAAATTAAAGTAGGGATTAACACAGCATCATGAATTACCATACGTGCCTTTTTGACACATTCTGATTCTTCATAAAGTGTCACTTCATAGAGTGTTCATCTTCTTTGTCATATCTACCGTCCCTGCTAAATATAAATAAAATATAATATAGTTAAATAAAGTTAATTTTCGAAATTTTGAGTACATTCTAAATTGCACCTTTTATTGGATACCAGACCCGATATTTCAATATTTGTTTAATTAATATACTCATTGAGCAAGGAAACTGAAGACTGTATAATAATTAAAGTTTTTAGTTTTAGTTTTTCTAATATATATTTTTATTACTGTATATATTTCAATGTTTTATTATATGTCCGCAATAAGCCACCATGTTAGTTTTAATGTGACTTCATGCAGCCTAAAACCCGCAAAAGGGCACAATGTTTTTCAATATATTAATTTGTCAGTATAATATAAATAGTTTCGAAGATTTGAGGGAACAGTTAAACATACACATACCCATAGCCTTCTAAAATTTCAACCATCCTTTTGGCTTCACCACAGTTGGGTTAAGTATTCACTTATATCATCTACCTAAAATCAGAATACACGAATATACTGCAATCGGTATCGATAATTCAAGTTGAAGCAGGCAATGCGTGGTGCAGCACTATCTGTCACCCACACATGCACATTACACCTACACTGGTACATTTTGATTTTAGGTTTCGCCTTAATCGCTTCATCGCCAATCTTTTCTACAACCGCTGCAATAGGTACAAAACAATATGCCACTTATTCACACACAGTTTTACACTGTCATGTAAAGATTAAAAAATAAAGCATCATAAACTGCAGATGCAATCGGTTATATTACTAATTAAAATATCATGAAATATGATTAACAATTTCTGTCGATTTGTAAAACTCTAATAATCAAGAATTTATTTTACAAGAAAAGTGAAATTAATGGAAAGAAAGTAAACTAGTTTAAGGAATAAGGAAGTCAGAAAGTTGCTCAATATCTCAGAAGTTTGGTTTCTCATATTTCGTCAGCAAAAGTAGGAAATGTTAATTAAAAACTATACGGTGTTTTAAAAGTTAGTACTAAGCTTTTCAACGTTTCAGTAAAATTGGCAACGAGTTTTTGTAAATTAATTAACAAGTTTTAACATCTTATATGAGATATATAAAACATGAGAAAGGAATATGTGCTTACTCAATTATTTAATATTTTCCCTGTCCGCAAATGTACACAATAGTAAAAAAAGAAAATTTCATATATAACTCATGGGACATGGAAATAGTTACACAATTAGATTTATCTTTATTAAATAATATCTCCATTCAAATTAAGATAATATTTTATTCACATAGAATAAAAACCGTGTCGTTGCGGCTTATCGTCCCGAGGGTGTCGTACGACGGACGGAGGGAAACAAAGCAGATGAGCAGCAGCGTATTCTTAATAATTGAATTTAAATCTGTTACATAATAACAGGTTAAATATTGTACATTATTTATTATGTATATAGCAATAATTAGATTTTTGAACTTTTAAGGATCTTGATGATAAAATATTAGTACGCAACGGATATTACGCACGCAGCCATCGAAGAAAATAAATCGTGACTTATTTGTTTATATTCTCCTTTTATAATTATTAAATTTAGTGTCATTAATAAAAGCAACATGAATCAGTGTAAAGTCCTTCGTGCTAATTTCGACCACGAAGGAAGTTTTCTTAGTGATCTTAAACGTCAACGCACAAATGCACAAATGTAGATGAATTTTTCTTACGAATCCCTATCATGTAAAGTTTTGTGGAACTAAGATTTTTTAAACAGTTATAGAAAAAGTAATATATATATATATATATATATATATATATATATATATATATATATATATATGTATATAAAGATTACACAATTGTAAGATTAGGTCTGGTAATGACTAATATTAGGTTGAAATATACATTTAGAGCGTTGACACAACTAATAGAGATCCGAAATTAATAATTTGTAATACATAATTTTCCTCTAAACCAAAATTTGATCATGGACTATTCATCTTTGTAAGATAGGATTATCTTGCCCAAGTGTATGCAGAAGTACAGGTGCACTCTCTATTTTCCAACTACCAAAATCGGGTGGCGTGGTTATACAACAGGACTGGAGAGAATCTAGATACGGGGTCTGAACAGCTCGACATACTTTCCGTGATAAAAGGTTTAAATAAACACTGCCGATTTCCTTACTTTAAGTTACTACTGAATATTTTATTGATAGAAAAACACAATAACCGATTTTGGTCCAACCAGGTAATTTATCTCAGGACGTCATGATCAGCAGACATATACTAATACTGTGACAAAATACAAAACAGGATCTCATTATCAATAATGTAACGACTCACGTGTTATAAAAAAAACAACATCACACCATAATAATAATAACTAATAAAAAACTAGGACGACCATATCCAAACACAAATATTTGCATCCTAAATCGA